CCCCGCGTTGGTCGAGGGCTGTCCGCAGCTGTCGGCCGTTGGGCTGCACCCTCGCCGTTGCGTCTCGGGATCGTGTGGTGCGGCACGAGATTAGCCCGAGATTAGCGCGAGTTCTCGGGATCGTGTGGTGCGGCCGCGAGTGCGGCGTGCCGCGGCATCAGCGGCGGTAGGAAGGCAAAACCGTGGAGGTTGGGCCTTGCCCCTGCCGAGTTATAACGTGTCTCCATGTAATTACGTGGTTGAGTGTCCATGCGCACGCGCGCACCGCGACCCTTGTGCGCGTGCGGTGCGTGTGTTGTGTCTCTCTCGTTATGTAATTGTGTTCTTGTGCGTGCGAGTCTGCGCTCTGCCGCGCCGCGCGGAGAGCGGGGGGTGCTTACTGAGCACTGTGCACTGAGCACTGCGGGATAGGCGGCGGGGATCGAGATTCCGGCGCCCGGTACACAGAGGACACCCCTCACGCCCCTGCCCCCTCTCGCTCGAGATCGTCTCGCGGCTCGCCGAGACGCTCTGGGGGGAGGCGGGGGCGCCCTAGAGGGTATCCATGCGGGGGGGGAGATGGGGTCCCAAGGCCCGCCGCAGGCGCCGATTTTTCTTTTTCGCTGGATTTTTAGTTGTTTTCGTGGGGATTCGCCGTACTTGCGGCCATGCTATCACGCCTTGCGACAGCCTGTCGGCGCTGCTGACCGTGCCCTGCTGCACAATTGACCACCTGCATAGCTCGCGGCCTTAGTATCCAGCATTCAGTGACGACCTGATCGTACGGCCAGTAGGAAGGTGTCCTTCCAGCGCGTGCACGCTTCTGACGCAATGCGCGTCACAAACTGCCTCGGATTGGCTGCTGGCACTCTCGAGGCTATGCCTACGCAGCCTCGCGCGCATGGGCAGTCAAGAGGGACCACGCACCTTCTCAGGACAGCGCCGGTGCCTCTCTCTTGGACCGGCAAACTTGGCGGTCTCGTGTCACCAATGTGGGAACAGTGCGGCGTCGCGCGATCGACAGCTCTGAACTGCGCCTCACCACTGACCGGGAAGGCCGCCAAGTGGGCCAGCACAGGTCGCACATTGTGGCAGCAGTCAGCAGTGCATGTCTGATAGCTAGAGCAGCAGCATCAGGATCGCAGGGTCGGATCGTGTCAAGCCTCTCGCCCGGCCGGCCGCGTGCAGACGTCGGCCTGTCTGCTGCCTGGAGTGATCTGTCGGCGGTCAGTAGTACCACCGATCAGATTGGAGGTTTCTGATGGTTGGAGGGTCTATCTGTGTGTACTCCTCGAGATCTCTCCAAATCTGCCCTCTGTTAGACCGGGTTAGATCGGGAAGTCGGTGCTAACGGAGACTAACGGAGCCGGGGCCCCGTTTCCGCACTGCTGCGCGGCGCACGGTGCCTCCGGGGGCCCCCGCCTCCCCCCAGAGCCGAGACGCCCTCCGGGCTCCCTCCGCCTCACTGGTGTGTTATTTGGATGCTACTTTCATGCATCGATAAAATGCAGTGTACAGAGTTAAATAGTTGGGTGTGTGGTACAATAGTGCTCGCGTGCCACCACGCTCAGTACGCGCCAGCCGCGGCAAAGCGACGCAAGTGCCAAAAGGCTCCAGCTGATCGCGCCGAAATAAGATCGCGGGCACGCCCCTGAGCGCGTTAGCGCCGCGCTGCTGCACGTGGGGCTCACGTCTGGTGGCTCGTTCACAAACCACAGCGCGTGGGCGGCGGGTCTCGCATCCGTCGCCGTCGCCCGTTGTCACTCCGCACATTGCAATGGTGCACACCCTCTCCCACTCTCGCGCCGAGCCGGCAGCTAGCACCAGTTCGAGAGTGGGGGAGGGGGGAGAGAGAAGCAGAGAAAAGGGAGGGGTGGGGGTGGGGGGGTGGAGCCCAGGGGCGCTCACGGCTCACATCAGGCGAATGGCAGTGAGGAGGGTGCTGCAGCGGCTGCAGACCCGCTCAGAGCTCCCACGCCTGCCCTCGAGCCGTGACACGCAAAGGAGATCACACCACCACACATCTAGTCTACCGCATGTTGTTCTGCAGGCCGCGCGTACTGACTCGTCACCGTGTCCATATCATACGCAAAGCGCTTGAGACTGCCTTGGCGCGCGGAGGCTCTGCAATGCGCTGACCACGTCGAGGCCATTCTCGGTCGAGGGCACGGGCACGGGAGAGACGTAGCTTCCCGCACGCGCCCGCTTCGATGGGCTCTCGCTGTACGTCTGCGCCACCGCGGCGAACGCAATGCCTCCCCCAGCGAGCCGTGCCGCCCCTTCGTCCGCCATAGGCCCGCCACGCTTTGCGCCAGCAATGCTGCTCGTGCTACCTCCAACCACGCCCCCGTGTCGATCCTGAAATGCCGCGCCCATCTTTTGGGCGCATACAGCGCCAATGGGGATCGCGCCTGCAATTGCACATGTGCTGTCCAGCCCCGGTCCCGGTCCTGGTGCTGCCATCGCCGTCGCGATGGCTCCACTTGGGGAGGCCGACGTCTTTATGCAGTACGGCGGTTGCAACAAACACCCCGACGAAGGGGGCAGCGCGAGCTCGGTGGGCAGCACCCGTGCTTGCAGCGGCGAGACGGCCTCAGGTGGTGTGAGGACGGGCGACACGGTCGGCGCCGGGGCGGCTGGCGGAGCAGTGTCGCCGCCGGCATAGCTCATGACCGCAAGCGCCGGCCCAATGCGACCCCCCCGCTCCGCTTCTGTACCCTCGGCCACTGGTGCTCTGGCGAATCTCTTGGGCGAGGTGCTGCCAATGCCCGAGGAGCTCCATTCCCGCCTCCCCTCCGCCGCCGAATCGGCGGCCGCGCCGAGGTGGTCTGCATGAATTTGGATTTTGACAGCCGTGTCGAGGCCGTGTGCCAGGAGTGCCCGGCCGAGCTCACGGTCGGACGCTATGAGCTGCGCCTCGGCGGGGGCGCCGCCACCAAAGGCCAGCAGCCCCGCCGCCGCCCCGGCCTGCGCTGACGGAGCCAGAAGCTGCTGTCGCAGAGCCTCATTGTCCGCAGTGAGCACTCTCAACCGCTCCTGGAGCGTCTCGACCCACTCCTTCTTCCTCTGACGAGACGCAGCGGCGGAGAGGCGATTGCGGTGCTTGCGGCGCATCTTGCGCTCCTCGAGCGGCGTTGCATCGTCGTCCTCGGGCTCCTCGACGGTCATTGGAGAGAGGGGGAGGTGGCCCTCGCAAAAACGGACTGTTTGCCCGGTACGCGAGCCCGAGTGGACGAATTTCTCGTCAGCTTAGAAACGGCTTTCAAGCAACTTTTATGCGCCACGTGCGCGCCGAGAATCTTTTGTGCTTTGATTAGTGGGCGCCCACCTTTCGAATTTTACGTTTGATGGGCGCTTCGGCCCCGCAACCTCACTGATCACAGCGCGCAAGGGAAGGGGGGGGGGGGGGGGCAACTGACCCGGGCGGCGAATGCACAATCTCCGGGGTGGTGTTGAAGGGAAGGGGGGGGGGGGGGGGATCTCGTCGAGGAGCTCTTCTTCCAGCATGGTGAACTTCTGATTGATTGGATTGACTCCCCCTTGCGTGAGGAGTGATCTGAAGAGAGTCGTGAAACAACAACTCAACTTCGAATCCGGCGGAGCGTTTGTGAAGTGCCCGCCGATCGGATCTTCTGTGCGTGGCGCACGGGCGCGGCGTCGCCGCCCTCTGGCTCGCCGCGAGCGTACCGCCCTCGAGAATCTTGCCTGTGTGACCGCACGCCGTGTCACACCAGGCGTCCTGCCTCCCCTGCGCGAGTCTGCTATGCAGCACCGAAGGTCACCCCCCACCTTCGAGGCGGCCTCGTCCCAGCACCTTTCCCAGCTGCACCGCGATGCCCTCGCCTACTTTACTGCTGCACCAGCGCAGCCGGAGAAGCCCTCCACGCCACTGCGCCCAGCACCCAGCCAGCCGTGGTGGCTCTGCATCATGGGCATTGGCTGGGCAGCCCTCATCGTCTTTGCAATGACGACGGACCTTGGCATGGGTGTGCGCCCCCACTTGCCACGAGGGTCTCTGCCTGTCTCTGGCACCTGACTGGACGATGCTGCCGCCCGCAGGAGAGTCCGACGCCGACGCCGCCACGAGAAGCTTCATCGGGGAGGTTGACGCCGTCGCGCTAAGCTCGAGCGAGGCCTCACCGCCGGAGCGGCAGCCGCCCAAGGCGTGGTGGACGTCAGAGGTCATGGACCTCGACCCATCAGTCAACGGCAGCGCGGCGGAGGTGGTCTGCAGCGGCTGCGACCTCGCCAGCCGGCTTGCTGCCAGCGCGCCTCCGCCTCCCGCTGCTGAAGTAGACAGCCGGAACGCGTCGTCGGAGGATGGCGCGGGCGTTGTCGAGGGGGGCAACACGGCCGCGGTGGTGGTTGCTGGCGGAGCTGCGAGTGGGGGTGTGGTCGGCGGTGCGCATGTCTCGGCCGGCGGCGCTGCGCCGGGCGGGGAACCGCTGCCCCTCGGGGTGGCTTGCACCCCCGCGAGGAAGGGCGACGCCTCGGTCTCGATGTGCGAGTCGTTTTGCCTCGCAAAGGCACCGCTGCCCTGGGCCGCGTTGAGCATAGCCGGGATGCGTGTTGGGTGCGGCCTCCCTCCCGCCCGCCGATCCGACTCCCTCACCGCGCCCCTCGGCCCTTGCACCGACAGGCGGCCAAGTTCCACTGCGTTCTCTGCAAGTGCAAAAGTTGCAGCTTCTGCCCGGCGCAGGCTGCTCCGACGAACGCGACCGTGTGAGCGGCGCCGAAACTTTGGGGCGGGAGGTTCGGGGGTGTTCAGATGGGGTAGGAGGGGGGGGGGGGGCGACTTGAGCCGCAGAGGGCAGAGCAGCTCGCTTGGAGTGGGAGGTAAGGTGAGCCGTAAAGCCGTAAGCGGGTTAGGACTAAGGTAAGGTGCGACGAACTTCTCCCCACACACACAAGGTGGTGGGGCAAGGGGGGCGTCCGCTCCGTCCCTCGGCCGTCAGAAAACACGCCTGCGTGGATCGCGTCACACCAATCCTCGCTCGTCGAGAACGGAGAAGCGAGAAGGGAGAACCTCGCGGAGAACACGTCGACGGGGACGAGGTCTCGCCGAGCTCAAGAGACCTCGAGTGCTCGAGAGGCGTGCTGCGCCTCTCACGCCAGGCTCGACACCGCGACGCTACCCACAGACACCCGAACAACAACAGCTCCGCAATTCTCGACGCGATGCACCGGGAGAGTAGGGTTGCCTAACGTTAGGAGCTGAACAGTGTTGCTAGTGTTAACAGTAACAACAGAGCAACAGTGGGGCTCCCCAACAACAGTAGCTAACGTTAGGCCGACTGAACAACAGTAAGGAACGAGGCCTGGCAGTGACCTCTTCGGGCGGCAGGGCGGTCCCCGCCGCCCTGTCGGCCTCCTCCCGCTGCTCGCGCTCGTCGCGCTGCCGCTCCTGGTACTCTCCTAAGCTGTGAATCAGACGCACTTACCTTCGGGGCAAGTGCTCTCAGGGAACTACAGCCCTCAATGGTACGCCTCAAGGCGATTTGAGCTGCAGGGCGTCGTGTGGGCGATTTGAGCTGCAGGGCGATTTGAGCTTACCTTGGGCGTCGTGTGGGCTCTCTGTGTGTGTGGGCCTCGCTGTGTGTGTGAGAGAGCGCTCGACGCCGGGCGGTGGCAGGGATTGGGGCGGCACCAGAAAAAAGAAAAGAAACCGGGATAAAGATAGGAGTGATGGGCACGCCCATGGCGGGGGCTGCGCCGATCCATGGCGCGAGGAGTCTTTCTGCCGAGCTCGCCGAGAAACGTGCCGAGCGGGAAGCACTCGAGGCGCGCCTGGCAACTGAAGAGGAGCTGGCCCGCACACTGCACGGCATGAGCCTCGAGACTCTGACCATCCCAAACACCGCGTCAGTTATGCCATCGCCACCGTCGCCGCCGCCACCTCCGAACGAGGGCGAGGCTTTCGTCGACGACCACCTCTATGCACTCACCAACATCCCCGGATTTGAGTCCATAATGCTTCCCTCGAATCCCGAGTGCTACCCGTACGATGGCGATGCTAATCCCCGTCACCCCGTCTGGGATCACCAATCCCTGCACTCGGTAATCGAATCGTGGGCAACCACCCAGTTCCGCGTCGGCAGCACACGCACGGTGGGACTCGCTGCAGTGCATAATGCTCTCCGGTGTTGCCTGCTGTCCATGCCGGAGAGCGAGCGCGCGAAGCTGCTGGGGTATGGCGCCGGCGCGCCACCGCCGACACTGCCCGACTCGGCGCCGCTCGAGCCCGATCGCTGCCGGCTCCTCGAGCTTCCTCACGACATGCTTGTGCTAATCGGTGCCAGCCTTGTTGACGGAGCGCTCCGCCACAAGTTCGGCATGGCGCACCGAATGTTGCGAGCGACGATGCGATCCACGGAGGTATGGCGGACGACGGCGCTGCGCATGGACCACGCGTCCAAGCTGCTCGGGAGGCTCATCGCCCCTCACGACGCCGGGGGCGGTGGCGGTGGAGGAGGCGGCGGCGGCGGCGGCGGCGGCGGCGGCGGAGGCGGCGGAGGAGGCGGAGGCGGCGGCGGCGGAGGCGGCGGCGGCGACGGCGACGACGATCTCGACCTCGTCCCCGTCTTGAAGCTTGCCATCAGCCATACCCGCCCGGTCTACCGCCTCTGCCACCGCCTGGACGAGTAGGCGCTGCGGCCGACGTTGATCGTGCCCATGCTACTCCTCACGATCGTCACGCTGCTGATGTCGCTGCTGCTCTCGACGAAGATGGTGCTGCTGCTGATGGTGATCCTGCAGAAGAAGGCCGCGCTCGTGCGCCACTTGCACTCCTACGACTACTTCCTCGACGCCCACCATCTAGTCGTCGCCTTCGCCGCCATCGCTTCCTCACCCTCGGACGTCCTCA